TATATATATTTTGTTAAAGGAAGAAATTCACAAAAAAATCGATTACTATAGCAATCAAAAAAAATTTGGAAATATGTACTTTTACGTTATTTTTAATAAATTGAATAATGTAAAAATTAATTAATATAAAAATGATTTCCTTATTTGAAATTTAAAAATATAATTAAATCGTAAAAATTATAATTTAAAAAATTCTAATTAAATCATAAAATCTATGCCCCTATTTGTTGATTATTTCTCATATAGTAGGAAAAATTAAATCAATAAGTTAAACTTCTGTCACATTTATATTTATCTTTAAAAAGAAATTTTTATTTTTTCAATTCTATATTTAACACAAAGTATTTTGTAATTGTGACAACATAGCTTTAGAATAAATATATCCGTACGTCACAGATGCTTGCAACAACGTTGCTGCAATACTCCTGTAATCTTAAATATTAGAGGAATATGCAACAATGTGTTGCTGTAAGTTTTGTGTCATAGAGGAAAAAAAAGACTTGGAATGAAAAATATTTGAGTGATTAATATTAATTTACTTGCAGTTTATAGTATTTACTTTACTAAAATTTTTTTTTAAACTTCCTGCATATGTTTAAGTCTTCTTTCAGCTATGCAGTTTATTTATCTCTCTAGTTTGTACTTCGCTGATATTTTCTCTTCATATTTGAACTTATCTGTTTTTTGTCCCGCTTTTGTTTGATTTCTATTGATGTCGCGCTTATTGTCATTTCAGAATTATTGATTTGCTATTATTTTCCTATTTTCCTTTAAGATATTTTTCCAAAAAATTATCTTGTTGAAGCTACACGATCGCTGAAGCTGCGTTTATGAATATAAAGGTTTCAGGAAAATAATAGCAAATGCTTTTAATGGCTTTCTGGACAATAAGTGCAACATCAATGGAAATCAGGAAAAAGCGGGACAGAAAACGGATGTATAATAGATATGAAAAGAAAGTGTCAGTGAAATGCAAATGTGCTAGAAAGATCATACGAACTGCATAGAAAACAAGCTTTGTGTTAAGAAGAATGCCTAAAAGTATAGTGCAAGAAATTAAAAAAATTTTTAATAATGAAGTACAATATAATAATTGTTTAAATATATATAAATATTTTTTATTTCAAATACTATTATTAGCAATTATCCGTCCTAAAATTATATATCAAGTAGCACAGTAGTGCTTGCAAAGTGCTAAAAAAGCGATTATATGTGCTTTTTTAGCGCTTTGTTAACGCTTTATAAGCGCTGTGTGCTTATAAATTTGATATTTGATTTTAATTGTTATAAATAATTCATAAATAATACTTTGTATTAAATATAGACATACTGAAAAAAATAAAAATTTATTTTTTAAAGGAAAATTTTATAATTGCAAGAAAAGTTTAACTTTTTGATTTAATTTTTTTACTACATACAATGTGAGAGATAATCAACAAATAAGAATTTAACGATCTAATTATTATTTTTTGTAAAATTTTTTTATAAATAATGGAAAAAAATTTGTTATTAATTTTTTTTACTCTATTCAATTTTGAGCATTAAAAATAATGTAAAAGAACATATTTTCAAAATATTTTTAAAAAATTACTAATAGTTTTTACCTTTACTAGGTAAAAATAATGTTTAAATTTTTCGAAAGATTTATCGTTCAAAATATTTATATGTTTTTGTATTTAACTTTGCTAATTTCATGTTTAACAGATTTTAATATGCACTAATCTAATTTAATATAAAACCGAATTCATTATTAAATTCAGTATCGAAAAAAAAATTATCATTCAATTCATTTATAGACATCGCAACAACGAAAAGATACGCCTTGATATTTAAAGACATAAATGTAAAAAAATGTATTAAATAATATTGAAATAACGTAGATAATTAAAAAATTAAACGTTTAATGATGAATATAAAAAAAAATAAATCTGTGTTTTTTTTTTAGAAGTTTGAAATTTAAAAATAGTTTTTTTTATCGTAAACACATTTTTTTATTCAATATCTTATTTTAAAATCGAGAAATTTGTTTTTTCATGTGTATAGATAGTGTATCTATAGAAACATGATCTCGGCGCTAAGACAAGCGAAATATAAATATACATTTTAAGTGTGGCTCTCGACATTACTCATTATCCTTTCTCTATAATTAAACTGAAAATTTTAATTAAATTGAAAATTAAATTTAAGAATAAATTACTAATTCATCAAACTGTTTGAAGAAGTCAAAACAGAATAATTTAATACATAGAAATAAAAAATTACAATACAACACTTTTATTCCGTTAAAAAATACAGTTTTTTTTATTAATCGGAGCATAATTTTTTTATCTAAAGTAGTTGTTTGGTTAGCTGACAAATTAAATTATGTATTATAATAAAATTTGATTCTTGATTTCTTTTCTAAATATGACCTAATTTAAATAAAGACTTATGACATGATATACAGAATGTGTATTTTGCTACATGTAATATAATAAATAATATACTAAATTGCATTAATTTTTTTATTTCTAATTTCATAGTTAAGATTGCAATCTTGCACTACTACAGATGACTAATTCGTTTTGGCTTCGTGAAAATTGTGCGATCGCGAGCGTAATTTAGTGCGTGTGCCATCGATTGATTGCGATTTCGCTGATTTATCCATTTCGACGGCGTTTTGCAGGATCTGTGCCGCCAGACTGGAGATGCGCAGATCCTTGAGCTTCATCGAACTCTCCAGATATGCGATTTTGTGATTCAAAGTGCTTATTACTTCCTCCTTTTCACGCAGCTCCTGCTTTAACTCCGTGTAAATTGTACGTTGCACATTTTCGTCGTTTGCATCTTCAATCCGCTCCGTCGTAACGTTCGCGAGCGAATCGCCTTAAACGCGTTTGGAAATTTATTCATATTTGATCAATCACAAAAAAGTGTTTCACTTATATATCAAATATCTTACGCTTGCGGAAACGAGGAAGTGTACAATAGTTAACGATATTCCATATACGGAAGAAGCAAAAAATCCAACTGAAGACGATGAAAATCCCTTGTTTGAGACACATAAATTTCGATAATTTAATTTCACGAATTTCGTTATCAGTTTTTGGACTTTCTACTTGCAGTTTGAGGTAGCTGTCTGACGAGCTATCTCCAATCTTCTCTTCTATGGAAAGTATGATAAAATTACCAAATCCATATAATATGAAAGTTTATAACAACATTGCTGCAAGCTTATAACAACATTGCAAGTTACTATAATATTACTAGAATTTTGTTATAATATTGCCAGATATATTCGCTGTACGCGAAACAATAATGTATAACTAGTCCAATAGATATCGTTAAACAAATGTGATTATTTAGTATATAATGTCTGCGCTTCGTTGCCTTCTACATTGCTTTCTACATCTTTGAGTTTCGGTTTATGCATCTCAACGCCGTCCCTCAGAACTTTCACTCTCAACTTCGTTAAGAGCTTCTCGACTGCGCCTTGTGACCCGTTCGCCAGTTGATGAATAACGTCGCTGCTCAATTTTATATCAAGTTTTGCGAGCACTTTTCGATTTAGCATCTTCCAGTTCTCCTTTTTTGTGTTTATGCTATTCGCCGAAACATAATTGTGAAGCTCCACATGTCGGGGATAGTATAATTTTAGAACCTCTGCCGTAAGAACTATCAAGGGATATAATAATTTAATTATATTCATTTCTATATAGATTGAATATAGATTAAATAAAAGAATTAGAAAAAACTAAGAAGTAAGTTATTAAATCAAAATTAAAATTCAATCAAATCCCTAAATGAAATAAAATTATTAATTTTCTGTTATTTAATATATTAAAAAATTAAATAATTATATAGTTAGAAATTTTGCTTTAAGCAGTAGTGCTTGATTGAATTAATTGCATTAAATTAATCAAGATTTAATTGCAGTTGCTTTAAAATTTATATCTAAAGAAGAGAAAATCGGTCCTGACATTAAAATTAGCGAGTTTACCGGCATCCGAAAAATCCCTCGTTAAGTTTCTCGCGGGTCTCGAAAATGGGATGCCATCGATCCATTCGATGAGCTCCTTATTGTTGATCTCCACCGTGTCACCAATCATTTTTCCTTCTACTTATTAATAGTCCGAGTCAATTCATATTTGGATCAGTTTATTTATCACGTTTCGGTGTATCGAGTGAACAATCGACGAGGAAACTTTGAATCATGCTGTCATCTGGTTTCTCTTGTGAGGCAGAGCAGAATCGCTCGTCGAAATCATGCGATATATCGACAACTTAATGCGCAATGTTCCTTTATTTTAAATCAATCACGAAAATAGATGATAAAATATAAAGTATTAAGAAATAAATCTCTTCGAGATGGATTATAATTAAAAAGCTGGAAAAGAAGAAAAATCTAAAGGAATATAATAAATATGTATTTTGAGAGGAGATAAATGTCTACGGAAAAAACAAAAAGAAAAAATAGAATAAAATGAAGAAAGTACACATGGCAAATCTATAAGTTTACAATAAAAACATGAAATCAGTAATTATATATATATGTAAATATAATATTTATTAAGTTATACTTATAATATTATCTTTATTTACTAGTGTAAAAAGAAAATGATAATATAATTTTATTTGCTTTTTTTATATTATTTTTAGATCATTTTGATGCCATATTTTTTATAAGCAAGAATAACGCACTTACTGTCATTTTAATTAGTAAAAAAAGATGTATATAAATATATGA